GATCCAACTCTAAACACAAAATTGGTTTACATTTCCTACACACCTAATACACACAGCCTGAAGGTAACACTTTTATACAATGTTAAACAATTTTGGGGAAAAAACAATATTTTCATTGTGTTTTGACTGTGACTCATCACAAGAGATCAGGGATGGCCTGTGACATTATTTCATTCTTCAAAAAGAGTTGAATTTTAGAACACTTTGGATTATAAATTTTCAGGTGAAGGATGTTCAACTTGTACCACTTCATACATATTCTATGAGGGGAACCATTTGGATTTCCCTTTTAGCCAGTTTTAAAAGTCACAAAAAGCCATAAAATATGAAAGGTATTACAAAGACAGAGCTACATAATAATTACATATTATCTTATATTCTAAAGAAGTGAAATAACTTATTAAAGAATCCCAATTTAAGCTGAGACGGAAGTAAAATATTATACTCCTAATTCCAAAATTGACTTAAATTATATTGATTTAAGAAAAAATAAAATTCAGAAACTGTTCAGAAACTTGATTTCATTTTTTTCAATCTATGGCTAAGTGAAAAATTAGTATATTTGTAATCATGATGAAGTCTTATAATTAAAGTAAGAAAATAAGTACATGAGAAAATCTTCAGAAAAAAACAATGAGTGCTTTTTATAAGAAACTGTTGAACTAAGACAGATGGTAAGCTACTAAAACTGTTAGATTACGAAATTATTCAAAAACTTTCCTATTTGAACTCTTTTTACTGTCAGTATCTACATAAGCTTATAGAAGCTATCTTTTTATTTTTTTAACTACAGATTGGTTTGCAGCTGTTAAAACTTTTCCTTCAACTTTCTATATTCTGAGAATCTTCACAAAATAAAGTTCTTAGCTATCTACAACAACACACACACACACACACACTCTCTCTCTCTCTCTCTCTCTCTCACTCAAATAGTGGTTTGGCTGTGTCACCACCCAAAACTCATCTTGAATTGTAACTCCCACAACTCCCATGCATCAATAGAAGAACCCAGTGGGAGGTGATTGAATTATGGGGGCATGTCTTTCCTGCACTGTTCTCATGATAGTGAATGAGTCTCACAAGATCTCATAGTTTTAAAACAGGAGTTTCTCTGTACAAGCTCTCTTTGCCTGCTGTCATCCATGTAAGATGTGACTTGCTCCTCCTTGCCTTCTGCCATGATTTTGAGGCCTCCCCAGCCACATGAAACTGTAAGTCTAATAAACCTTTCTCTTTTGTAAATTGTCCAGTCTTGGGTATGTCTTTATCAGTAGCATGTATACAGACTAACACAGTAAATTGGTGCCAGTAGAGTGAGGAGTTGCTAAAGAGATAGCTGAAAATTTGGAAGCAACTTTGGAACTGGGTACCTGCAGAGGGTGGAACAGTTTGGAGGGCTCAGAAGAAGATGGGAAGCTGTGGAAAAGTTTATAACTCCCTAAAGACTTGTTTATGGCTTTGCCCAAAATGTCAATAATGATATGGACAATGAAATCCAGGCTGAGGCGGTCTCAGATGGAGATGAGGAATTTGCTGGAAACTGGAGCAAAAGTGACTCTTGCTATGTTTTAGCAAAGAGACTGGCGGCATTTTGCCCCTGCCCTACAGATTTGTGGAACTTTGAACTTGAGAGAGATACTTTAGGGTATCTGGTAAAAGAAATTTCTAAGAAGCAAAGCATTCAAGAGGTGACTTGGGTGCTGTTAACAGCTTTCAGTTTTAAAAGGGAAGCAGAGAATAAAAGTTCAGCAAGTTTGCAGCCTGACAATACAATAGAAAAGGAAATCTGACAAAGGACTTATATCCAGAATCTACAAAGAACTAAAAGAGATTTACAAGAAAAAAACAAACCCATTCAAAAGTGGGCAAAGGGTATGAACAGACACTTTTCAAAAGAAGACATATATGAGGCCAAAAAATATATGAAAAAATGCTCCTCATCACAGGTCATCAGAGAAATGCAAATCAAAACTACACTGAGATACCATCTCACACCAGTAAGAATGGCGATCATTAAAAAATCTGGAGACAACAGATACTGGAGAAGATGTGGAGAAATAGGAACACTTTTACCCTGTTGGTGGGAGTGTAAATTAGTTCAACCATTGTGGAAGACAGTGTGGCGATTCCTCAAGGACCGAGAATCAGAAATTCCATTTCACCCAGCAATCCCATTACTGAGTATACATCCAAAGTATTATAAATCGTTCTATTATAAAGACACACATACGTATATTCACTGAAGCACTGTTTACAATAGCAAAGACCTGAAACCAACCCAAATGCCCATCAATGATAGACTGGACAGGGAAAATGTGGCACATATATACCATGGAATACTATGCAGGTATAATAAACGATGAGTTCGTGTCCTTTATAGGGACATGGATGAACCTGGAAACCATCATTCTCAGCAAACTGACATAAGAACAGAAAATCAAACACCACGTGTTCTCACTCACAGGCGGGTGCTGAATAATGAGAACATATGGACACAGGGAGGAGAGCATCACACACTGAGGTCTGTTGGTGGGGGGACTAGGGGAGGGACAGTGAGGTAGGGAGTTGGGGAGGGATAACATGGGGAGAAATGCCAGATATAGGTGATGGGGATGGAGGCAGCAAACCACACTGCCATGTATGTACCTATGCAACAATCCTGCATGTTCTTCAAATGTACCCCAGAACCTAAAGTGCAATAAAAT